TGAACGTTTTTTCAATGTTATTATTTGTTGATGAACTTCATTTGAACTCCAAAATGTTAAAGAATGCCCTTTTCCTAGATTTCTCATTCTCATACAAGCTTGAGCAAAACGATCTTTTGTTAAACCATTTCCTAATGTAACTGCAGCTTGAAAACCATTTGGAAATTTAAAATCAGTTCCTCTCGTATGAATTTCATCTAAATAAAATACACAACGATCTAGTCGTTCACTTGCAGGTGATGTTTCAAATCGATAATGATGAAGTTGACGATCACAAACAACAATAGAATCTGAATCAAAATAAATGGCATAATCAATCTTGTCTTTTTTAGATAGATTTAACCATTTAACAGCTATATCTCGATTAGTTCCATCAATAAATAGTGCGCCGACATCTAAAATAACACTAATAGTTTTTTTGTAATTTATTATTTGATTTAAAATATCTTCTGAGGTAGTATTAAATGGTAAATATTGGTAACTTTCATTTCCACGCTGTAGTAAATTATTAACAACGATGGCATCAGTTTTTTGAAGTTCAGGTAAATCGTATTGTTGAATATGAACTGGAAGTAATAATTGTGTATCATTAGTACCACTAAATCCAGTCACTATTTTTGATCGTAAAGATGACGATAAGTCCCAAGGTGATGCTACTAATTTATGAGGAAATTGTTTTGCTTCTCGAGGAAATACAAAATGATTTAGAAAATAATTGACAACTATCATATTATATCGTAGAGTCGGAAACAGATCATGAGTTCGTTGTTGATAATCTTTTAAATTAACTCCTTTCCATTGTTTGATACTTGTAGGTACTCTGTCTTGTTCTTCGGCTAAGATCCATTGTTCATAGATGGATGTAGGATCAGTTTCTTTTTCACTCAAACGATCGAAGCATTGAATCAATTGTGAATCGCTTAAACCAGAGTAATAATAAGAGAGTTGTGTTAATACTAAAGCAACGTCAGGATGACCGAATTCAGTTCTATCAGCAGCAACATCTTTTGCACGAAATGGCACAGCCATTAAACGATGAAATGAAGGATTTGACGTGATACCATAGTTAACTCGATATCTTTTTTTCAAAGCAACTAATAAAACTTCTGATGATAGCAAACCACGAATGATAAGAAATTGTTGAATATCATGCTGTGAAAA